GGTTGAATTATGTGGCGCAAAATGTATGAACCAAAAGAAACATTTGTAACACTGAGTATTTTAGCGGTTCTAAAAAGTAAATATAGGTAGCTTCAGATTCTCATTATCAAGAGTATAAAAATAAATGACTGTTACATCTTCATCAATTAATATACATTGACCTTGAAGCACCCAAACATCTTTATAACCTTTATAATGTTATGCTGTTACTAGGTTCCATTTTAAATCAGGAAGAGGGCCTTCTCAGCCGCTGTCCCAGCATTGTGGAACATCTTGCCCTGGGAGGTGAGGAAAGCCCCCAATCTTTTGGCCTTCTGCAAAGGGGTCAAAACCTGACTGTGTAACCTTGTGTGGGGGACACAGAGGCCCACACAACCATATGAACCCCGCTCCCCCGCCTGCATTAACAGCTGTCTAATACAACCCCATCTTGGAATTCCTCACCTTCTGAAATTTTTAGAATGTTTTTTTATAATTTTAAAACTTTTAAGCCTAAATTATTCTGGTTTTAATGTTTGATTTTATTGTTGGTATTATACATTGCCCAGAGCCCTTGTCCAACAGAAATGGATAGTTAGTTAGTTTAGTTTAGTTTAGTTTAGTTTAGTTAGTTAGTTACTAGGTAAGTAAGTAACTAACTGAGTAAAATAAATTTTACAGCAAGTTAAGTATATCTATGCAATAACGTATGTTGTTCTTTTAGAGCTCTAATGCTGCTGATTATTGAAATAAGATCAACAGAGAATAGTCGATATGGCAAACTGGGAAGTATTTGCTCTAAACCTCCTATGCAGGATTTAGAGTTCCCCTTGCTTTTACCCAAGAGAGGTGTCTCAATTTATCCCAGTTGCAATGTCCATTTCATATCTTATTATTCCATTCTTGCAAATCTCTATAAAATGGAGTAAAGGAGAGAAGAGATGGCATTGGACTGCAGTTAGACATCTTCAGTCTGAGTAAAACTTTCCTCATGGTGTATAGAGCATGAGCAAAGACATTCTGTGTTATATTTTAGAACTTGAAAGCCACTTTCCTCACTAGTAACATCAGTTAACATTATTCAACCATTATTGTGGTTGAATAACAGTATTGAACCGTCATTGCTCAATATAATATTCAATAGCTGTATCAGCAGTATTTAGTCATTGTTATACCGTATCAGATAGGCTTGACATAGCCATCATGCCGTTTAAGTGAGACTATATAACGTTATAAAACACGAGAGTTTCCAGTTGAAATTTGTAACACTAGTACTCTGTGCTGGGGATTGACCCTCAGACCTCCTGTGCAAAAAATGGGTCGCTTTCTCTTTTAAGGCAGTTTTTAGCCCTTGGAATTTATTGTTAAAGCATTCATTTTTTTCAGTCAACTCGTTGACTTCTGATAAAATGTGACAGTGGTATTGGTACTAGATTGATGTAGATGCATTTTCAATATCTACATTTTATGAGATATCAGTCATAAAAATAATCCTATATTGTTTTGATGTTATATTATATATAACAATGGTTTTACATTAAAAACAAGTCCATGTATATTTCAAAAAAGATCCAAGAATTTATCATTTTAAGATTGAAGTCTTAAGCAGGACATCTTGTATTCCTGCATTTGGTGAAAAAGTGCTAGGGTACACTCTGAATGAATATTTAATACCTCTGAAAGAAGTTTCATTTGACTGGATATATTTTTTTAAACTCAGGGATATGCAATCTTTTTTGGGATCAAGGACTAGATTTAGCCTCAATGTTTATGCAAAAAAAAAAAAGAGCAAACAAGAAGCAGCATTGGAACAGGAGGAGAGAGAGGATTAAATGAAGGATTAAAATTAAATTTAATTTTAA